TGGTAATTCATGAAATTAGATGGAAATTCTAATTAGAGAAAAAAATGTTTATTTATTTCAAATAGCGGACATTATGATACTTATCATTAGCCCTTTACCTGACTTCGAGCCTTACAGAGTGGAGGAACATCATAGTGCGAAAAAGCGAAGAGGGGGGAACAGAAATGTGATTCACAGATGTAAAAGTTAATGTCAGGGGCGAATGCCTTTGGGCGCACTATTGGCGCTGAGTGCGGCCTCCGTGGCGCAATCGGTTAGCGCGTTCGGCTGTTAACCGAAAGGTTGGTGGTTCAAGCCCACCCGGGGGCGCTGGCACTACCTTTAAAAGGGGTGTGAGACAGACTTACCTCAACGTGGTGCACCCTGGACAACGTGTACTCGTACGCGTAAACGTCTGCTAACCGACTGTTGACTCATGACTTCAAACCAAGAACTTGATTGGTCTAACTGTATTGCAATTTAGAAAACATAAATTTAATAATTAAATATCATGAAATGTATATCGAATTTTCAATTTTGCAATTATCTAATAATAAATTTTATAGATAAGAAATTGCTATTTCAATTCTTCAATTATTTTTACTTTTCCTATAAATATATCAAAACCACATTTGCTCAAGAGTGATTTTCGCCAGTTTTTTTTTGACATTTCGCTTCCCGGTGTTTCACCAGATGTAGCGGAATGTAGTGAAAGTTGGCTCCATTCTAAAACCAATCAACCCAATTTCACTTAGAGCTCTAATCTAATTCAAATTTTTGTGACAATAGAATATGCTGTCAAAACCACTTCTACGATGTTTTTCCACACAATAAAGACCTTAATCAGAAGAGAATTCCAGACCTCAAGGTGCACCGAACTTAAAGTTCGAACAAAGGAGAAACAGTGGACAGTGGCACTCTCCGACATACCCGACTGGCCAAGAATCGAAGCCGTTGTTGAGTTTAGACTACGTACCGGACACGGTTACCAAGAATCGAAGCCGTTGCTGAGTTTAGACTACCATGGCCAAGAATGGAATCTGTTGCTGAGTTTAGACTACGTAGTTGGCCAAGAATCGAAGCCGTTGCTGAGTTTAGACTACGTACCGTGACACGGTTACCAAGAATCGAAGCCGTTGCTGAGTTTAGACTACTTGGCCAAGAATCGAAGCCGTTGCTGAGTTTAGACTACGTACTAGAGAAACAGTGGACAGTGGCACTCTCCGACATACCCGACTAGCCAAGAATCGAAGCCATTGCTGAGTTTAGACTACGTACCTGACACGGTTACCAAGAATCGAAGCCGTTGCTGAGTTTAGACTAGACTGGCCAAGAATCGAAGCCGTTGCTGAGTCTTACCTCGAAGAAAGGAGAAACAGTGGACAGTGGCACTCTTCGATCCCGACTGGCCAAGAATCGAAGCCGTTGTTGAGTTTAGACTTTGGCCAAGAATCGAAGCCGTTGCTGAGTTTAGACTACGTACGGACGGATTGCCTGGCAAAACACCTTCAAAGATTGGGAGTATACACTGGCGATCTTCACAGATTGGGAGTATACACTCAACCCACGTGCCCATATGTAACCTACATGAGGAAATGGAGAAGACCCATCTGATCTGTAACCTACAGGAGGAAATGGAGAAGACCCACCTGATGTGAAACCTACAGGAGGAAATGGAGAAGACCCATCTGATTCTCTACAGGAGAAAATGGAGAAGACCCACCTGATTCGGTGTTCAAAGGAGGAAATGGAGAAGACCCACCTGATTCGGTGTCTAGCGGAGGAAATGGTGATGACCCACCTGATTCGGTGTCCAGCTCTAAAGACAACGTTGAAATGGAGAAGACCCACCTGATTCGATGTCCAGCCCTAAGCAAACCGGAAAGCCAGAGATACTGGGAAGCAAGAAGACAGCTACTATAGACCCACCTGATTCGGTGTCCAGCCCTAAAGGCAACGACAGAAAGCCAGAGATACTGGAAAGCATGAAGACAGCTAATAAATTGCTATTAATAAACTGCTATAAATGTACTCTCCCCACCCTTGGGGGGAGCTGAAGTCAAAGTTTAAGGGCTAATGATAAATATCATAAAACCTGCCATTTTAAATAATAATAATAATTTAAAATGGTCAGCTTTATGACAAAATAGCAATCTAAAACAAAGTGAAAGCAACGATTTTTATTCTATTTGCTTGTCGCAATTTTGATTTTAATATTTTGATCCAGAAAGCAGAACGTTCCTTTTTGTTAACTTTAAAAATAATTTAGAAAATGACAATTTGGATTCCGGCAGTGGCGACAGCAATTTCTGGTGAGTCTACATTTGAAGTAATTAAAGAACTGAGAGAAATTTAAAAATGGCATGAAAACGAATGGATTTGGTCACAAATTTTAAAATGATAGTCTCGATTTTGCTTGTAATATTATTATTATTATTATTATATCAAATGGCAGGCGTTTTGATTGCTATCATTAACCCTGGAGCTGACTTCGGGGCTTCACAGAGGGGAAGAAACATCAAAGTGTTAAAAATTCATGTGGGGGAGAATAGAAGGTGAGAAGTCAACTGCAAAGATAGAACAAAGGTGAGGTGAGTACTGCGGAAGTAGTCGAATATGACATACAGTCGGGTCATGGTAGCTTTAAGTTAGAAGTCAACTGCCGGTTAATAGACTTTTTTTGCCGTATGAGTATACGTTGCCCACCGATTAATGGACTTTTTTGCCGTATGAGTATACGTTGCCCAGGGTCACGTGACGGCAATAGTAACGACAAGCAGTGGTGAGTTTGAATTTTAACAATTCTTTCTATCATATTTGGAGTCATCGGTTTGGTAAAACGAATTATAGCAATGAGATGTTCTTGCCTTTCAAAACTACCTATTTTTAAAGACTGAAAATAAAATTGTTTTGTCATTGAAGTTGTTCACAAAAAGAATGTACTGGTGTTCCTATTTTAATACAAATAGGTTTTTGAAATTGGATTAAGTTTTCCAAGTTAGTTTTCCGCTTTTTTCCGAAACATTTTAATAAACGCCAAGTTCTTCCGATAAGTAACTGTTATTTTATTTAATCCAGTCATTTGTGGAATCATTCGGTGGCTTTTCAAATGATTGAGCATCAATTTGGTTCTATAGATCCCAAATGAACAAATAAATTTCATCGCAACACACATAATCATTTACATTTTTTACAAAATAAATGTCAAGTGAATTTAATTATAAAACTGCTTTTGAGTTCTGTTGGGTGGATGAAGGATTGTTAATTAATTAATTAATTAGATCAATCGAATCCACCTTCTGCCTACACGAAAGTTCTAGAAACCAAGGCGGCTTTGGAGATAAAACTCAATGGAATGAGAGGGTGAATGGGAATATTCATTCGTGCCATGAGGTTTTGATGTCCACATTTCAACTTTTGTCTCTAAAGCACAGTTCACATTACAATCACACATTGTGTTGGTGGAAACAAGCCTTTCCAATATTTGCTTAAGGCGCAAAATTGTCGGTTTTTCACCCTAATAAGCAAATCGTTCAACATCAGTTATGAGCCTAAAATTTCATTTTGTTTGTTAAAAGTACAATTGTCCAGACATTGGTTGCTACCGTCTTTCACAAGTGCATGGATGTCATTACTCAAATTCAAGGTCAGGTATCAACACTTTGTTGGTGCCAATGTTTACTGTTTAAGAATTCGTATCGAGTGATAATGATTTAAACAACAAACAACTAACAGGACAACCAATAAATTCTAATAATTTCTGGACTAAAGTACCTAATTGAACTATAGCCGCGATATGAAATGCTATGCGTTAAAAATTCTCATACTTAAGTATGCCATGCTCAGTATGGACGTTAACTTAATAAAAGCCCTTTGTGCACTTTTCAATTACTGAAAGTACTTTTCCGAGGAATTAGCCTATGAGATTTAAGAAGGAGACGGACATGTTAGCCAATAGTCTGAAAATGATAAGTGAAAGAGGCAAATCAGGATTTGTCTTTATTTGTAACTTAAAGCCACTCATTTTCAAAACATTTATTCTTGTGTTATACGTGGCGCGCGATAGACTAACCCCCAAGTGATGCACCCTGGGCAACGTATACTCCTGCGGCAAAAAAGTCTATTAACTGGCAGTTGAATTCTCACTTCAAACTACCACCACTCCCCATTGTATGTCATATTCCGCCACTTCCACAGTGCACATCTTACATTTTCTCTGTCCTTGTGTCTATCTTGACTTTTTTGCCACTTTGATGCTCCTCCTCCTCTCTGTGAAGCCCAAAGTCAGCTAAAGGGCTTGATGTTCCTCCTCTCTGTGAAGCCCGAAGTCAGCTAAAGGGCTAAAATGCTCCTCCTCTCTGTGAAGCCCAAAGTCAGCTAAAGGGCTAATGATAACTCTCAAAACGCCTGCCATTTAACATAAATTAAATAAATATTCTTGTGTTATATGAGGGATAAAATACCGATCCATTAATACATTCGGAAGTTCGATAGGAGATTGTCAGGAACTAACTTTATTAATTATTTAATTGAAACAAACTATATTTATAGTTGGTTTCACTCTGAAGGAGTGTCCCTTCTTTATCCTAATCGCCTTTAATTCTATAAGCACAAGAAATTATTTTGACAGTTGTTTGTTTCTATTGATTTTTTTAATCAATGATAGTCGATTCACTGAACTTTTGATTCGCCAACTAACTTAAAAAGAGCAAGGAAGCCAATTATAAGTAGGTTTGTAAAAATGTTAAGTTCGAAATTTGTATTCTATAATTTGCTTACGGAATTGGAACTTAAAAGTAAGTTAAATTTTTACCAAGTAATTTTAATTCGAAGACCTAAAAATGGGGGGGAGGGATTTGAAAGTATTGATTTTTTGTCAATCCAACTCAATTCAATTAATTAAATTCTTTTAAATGAGCAATCTATTTTATTTACATATATCCCAAGTGAAGTTTTACAACTACCAAAGTGTTTTTTTTTCGTTAATTCTAGAGAGTTATTGCTGTCAGTCTTTTATGCCACATGTGATTGTGTTACAAGAAAGGTGGTAATTAGTTGCAGTTTCCCAAGGAGTCATAAAGTGATTAGTGCAAAAAGCTTTTAAAATTGTGTATTTTAAAATTCTATTTCAAGTTTTACTGCGTTTGTTCGTTTGTTTTTCTTTCTATTTTTTGTAGTAAACATCAAAGACACAGGGCCAAATTTTATCTGATATCTGTACCCCATCTCATTAAAATGGTCATTGTAACAGCACCTAACGTGGACAGAGATATGGCATAGAGATGCTAAGTTGATGGAGAAACGCTCTCCACATTGTGATCTCTAAAAAAGATTATGAGTAATTTGATCTGTCCATTCCTACTCAAACTTATTTAAAATCCAATCTAACTTTCATCATCATATGCTCTATAGAATGAATAAATAAATAAATGTTGTAATGAAAACATATTCGTTCATTTGTTGTATGTTTGCTTGTTTGTTTGTTTCCCTGAGCACAGTTCGGCTCCCACCTACTCACTTTAGTGTATTTTTTCAACTTGATCATATCGATTTTCCATATTATCTAATTTGTACTTTAATCGACATCAGTTATGAATTCAATTTAAACTGTCGACCATACCATAACTTTCATGATGCATTCAAGTTTACTTTTATTAACTTCCATTAACTGATGGGGAAATAATGTAGTAAAGATTATTTACATTTTTAAACTATTTTATAACGTTTAAAAATTTTGTGATATTAAATTTTAAAAAATAGTTAAGTAGGTTACAGTAAGCTGAAGATATATATATCTTCTAAATCAATATTAATTTTTTTCAATTAGACGGGTGCATTTCGGGTTAAGACTGACTAATTGTCAAATCGTTTCTCTCGAGGATTCCTAATTAGCTTGTAATAAATACCGTACATGAAAACAATGTCGTGATCCCAAAAATATGATACTAAAATTTGTGTTCTTGCTTGTAATGATGCGGCGTGTACGTCGGCAGCGGCTGTGACCGGAATCCACACGAGTCCTGAGCTTCCTGCTTCGGCGGGACGAGTGCTGGTGGATAGAGCCAGGCGACTGCAGCTGTATTGGTGGTGATGAATGCCTGTGAGTGCAGCCTCCGTGGCGCAATCGGTGTGCGATAGACTTGCCTCCCCGTGGTGCATCCTGGGCAACGTATACTCATTCGACTTAAGACCATTAATTCCAGTCTGAAACTTCTCCAGTTCCTTTAGTGGAATGCTGGGGGGACGTCACAAGAAGATTCTAATCCGCAAAATCATGCATACCTATGATAAAGGCATATTCACGATCATGGAAGCCAACCTTACGGATGACAAACTCGAATATTACCAATACCCAGGTTACACCTTATATCTCCTGCCTAAAGACCGGCAAGTGTCAAGTGGGATTTTGTCTGTAGTAAAAGATGGCCTCCCATCACATTGCAAACTAGTCAAGAGTAGGGGCCCAACACAAGATATATGCGAAATTATCAGATAAAATGTTATCAACACCGCAAAAACTGCATTCCAAACATTTTATTTGGCCGTCACAGCATAAACCCACTTTTAAGGTACAAGGATGCCACCCTAGAAAAAATCAACGAGTTCACGTTTGACACAAAGCTAACGTGGAAAAGTCACCTTGCTAAAATAGCAGAACGAGTCTCCAATAGACTGAATGTACTGAAGCGTCTTGCTGGTAGCGTATGGGGCTGTGCGCGCTCAACTCTAAACACCACCTACAAGATGTTTATTCAGCCAATAATGTTGTATTGCTGTGAGCCACTCATTACAGCCACAGAGGTGACTCTCAAACGCCTCGAGAAGGCACACAACCAAGCATTCCGACTAATTACTGGAGGAATAAAATCAACACCCATTGATGCAATGCTCCTAGTTACAGGAAACACCACAATAGGTTCCCTTATCAAAGAAAAGGCCTTGATCCTGTATGAGAAGCTACTGCGCATTCCCATGGATAAGCTCTTCACCACCTATGAGAATAGACCAAGACATCTGAAAACGCAACCTGGTCTAATACAGAAAGCCATAGAACTGAAGAAAGAATTACAAATCGATGACAAACCAAAAAGCCTCCCTCTACCCATGAACCCATTAGCAGATACTGATGTAGTGTGTTGCACCCAACCAACATGCCCCCTATGTAACCTACAGGAGGAAATGGAGAAGATCCACCTGATTCGGTGGACGACAGAAACTCAGAGGTACTGGGAAACCAGAAGTCAACTAATGAACTGTCTTCCCCCCTTGTGAATGCTAAAGTCAAAAAAGTGATAAATATCATAAAGCCTCCCATTTGAAATAAAAGCAATAATAATAATAATATGAAATATTTAAATCCCAAGATTTAAAACCACCAAAATTCGTTTGTTTCAAAGTATTTTCCTATAAATTATTTTTGAGCTAATTTTGATCCCGTTACATTGGACAATGTGAATGCTTTTTTAGTCCCTTGTGTCAATTATTGAAATAATATCACATAAAACATTTGAAAATATTTATTTATTTCAAATGACAGGCCTTTTGATAGTTATCATTAGCCCTTTATTTGACTTCGGGCTTCACAGAAGGGAGGAACATTTATTTATTTATTTATATCAAATGGCAGGCATTTTGATAGTTATCATTAGCCCTTTAGTTGACTTCAGGCTTCACAGAGAAGAAGGAACATCAAAGTGAAAAAAAGTCGAGAGGGGGAGGGGGGGAACAGTAGAGTATTTCAAAGATGTAAAAGAAACAGACACAAAGGTAGAGTGAAAAAGGTGAGGTGAGTACTGTGGAAGTAGTCGAATATGACATACAGTGAGGTGATGGTGTTTTGAAGTCGGAAGTCAACTGCCGAATAATAGACTTTTTTGCCGTATGAGTATACGTTGCCCAGGGTACACCACGTGGAGGTAAGTCTATCACACACCCCAGGGAGGAACATTAAAGTGAGAAAAATTCGACAGGGGAAAAGAAGATCGAATCACAGGTGTAAAAGAGACAGACAGACATAAAGGCAGAGAAAAGGCTAGATGAGTAGTGTGGAGGTGGTGGAATATGACACAGAGTGTGTTCATGGTAGTTTGAAGTCAGAAGTCAACTGCCGATCAATAGACTTTTTGCAAGTCAGAAGTCAACTGCCGATCAATAGACTTTTTTGTCTTTGAAGTCAGAAGTCAACTACCGTACAGTGGGGTCATGGTAGTTTGAAGTGAGAAGTCAACTGTAGGTGAGGTGAGTACTGTGGAAGTAGTCGAATATGACACAGTAAGGTAAGATGATTACTGTGAAAGGGGTCGAATATGACATAAGTGAGGTGATGGTAGTTTGAAGTGAGAAGTCAACTGCCTTAGTCGAATATGACATACAGTGGGGTCAGAGTCAACTGAAGGTAGAAAAAAGGCGAGGTGAGTACTGTGGAAGTGGTGAAATATGACATACAGTGGGGTGATGGTAGTTTGAAGTCAGAGGTATATGACATACAGTGGGGTGATGGTAGTTTGAAGTGAGAAATAGGTAGAAAAAAGGTGAGGTTAGTACTGTGGAAGAAGTCGACAGTAGAGCAAAGGTGAGGTGAGTACTGTGGAAGGGGTCGAATTTGACATACAGTGGGGTGATGGTAGTTTGAAGTGAGAAGTCGAAGAGAAAAGGTAAGATGAGTACTGTTGAAGTGGTCGAATTTAAGAAAAAAGGTGAGGTGAGTACTGTGAAATGGTCGAATATGGACAAAGGTGAGGTGAGTACTGTAAAAATAGTCGAATATGACACAGAGTGTGTTCATGGTAGTTTGAAGTCAGAAGTCAACTGCCGATCAATAGACTTTTTTACCGTATGAGTATACGTTGTCCAGGGTCCACCACGTAAGTCTATCGCACACCTCATACATTTGAAAATATTGCTTGTTAAAAAATGAAAAACTTGCCAAGGGCTTTATCATTTAGTTTATCCAAAATAATAGTAATAATAAATTAAATAATGCGAAGATGTGACACTTTGACTGCTATATTTGTCTGTTTTTTGCAAAAAAGAGAGATTTTTCATACAATATTACTCACTACAATTGAATACAATTGCTAATTTATAAGAGCACAAGGTTGAATACACTTGAATGAGTTTTATATCTGCTTATTGAAATAGTTGCATTGAATTTTGAAGAAGTTGCCAATTGCATTATTTGTCTCAAATTTTTTGGTAGAAAATTTGGTAGCAATGAGAATCAACTTACTGGTAAGACCAACCCGTAAGGTCAAAGGTTGGAACAAATCAAAACAAGTTTGTTGACTGGTCTCAGTTGCTCTCAAAAAATGAAAAATTGTGAGAAATCTGCCCAGCCAACACATTATTATAATGTCAGAGTTAAAGAAATGGTGGTGGTGGTGGTGGTGGTGGTGGTGGTGGTGGTGG